GGGTAGGGGTTAGGCAAACAGGCCAAGGAGGCAGTTGGTTGAAATTTAACCACAATATTCTCGGTCTCTATTGTTTTGAGTGAGGCCCAATATTTCCACAGCAGGATTATAGGATCTGATTAACCATGTTAGACAACAATGCCGAGCTGGGATGGGCTTCCCCTTCCAGCTGCCAATATGAAAAAGTAAATATAACACTCAGATTTCAGAAGGGACTCCCAGTGGCCCTGAGTACTACTACTCCTCAATTCTAACTCTGCTACTGTTTTGGGCCCCAAAGTGAGGGGAAGGAAGAACAGTGTGGCACTGCATGCTCCTTTAACTACTGGCCCTTAGCCCAGCAGGACAAGTAATCCTGGCACAATCTTCCCAGGTGAGTCAATGGCTGTGTGCTCCCCACACCCTGGAGTTCTTCCAATGTCTCTTCCGGGTTCCCCTGGTAGGCCGGCACAGATTCTCAAGAACCCAAGAGAGTTGGGTGCTGAGGGAGTAGAAGGATAGCAAAGTATATTAGGCTCCTGATAAAGAAAGTGTGGGGTGGGACTTAATAGCTCAGAAGAGCGATTAAGCCTTTACGAGAATACTTTGATGCCACCTGATAAGTTCCCATGTGATAGATAGAGTGGAGAACTGAGACCCCAGAACTGAGAGGATACCTAAAAGGCCACCATAAAGGAAGTCTCATTCCTCAAAGTGTTCTGGATGATGGATCAAGGATATATGAACTTCTAGCTCCTCAGGTAGAGAGGGATTCCCCAGAGTCTCTGTTCCTAGCAGATAAGCTACCTTGTACTCTCTCCTCACTGGCAGACTTTTCTGAGATACTGGCCAAGAGGGCAGGGAAGAAACATAAGCGTAATGAGTCCTGGACACTAGTCTCCTGTAGCAGCTTCCAGGGGCCACAACAACCAGAGAACCACCCTCCAAAGTGTGGCCTCCCTTCTCTTCTACATTTCCCTCTGTATCTAAGGGCCTAGTATCATCCATTATGATTTTGCCAGCCCATACTTTCATGGATGTTAGTAACAGGGACCAGGAACCAAGGTTTTTGAGCTCTGAGTTTAACGGTTTCCTTGCAACAAGTCACTTATTCCTTTTGAATAGTTTCTTCTTCAGGACAATTGGGTGCTAGAAATTACTTCAGAGCACAGCTTAGAGAAACAGATCCTGATTGTATCAAAACCCAGTTAACATAAAGTTGTTTTCTTTCATAGTGTAGCACTACCACAGTGATATTTTCTGAGTTAGGGTTTAAACTATCTTGTTCTCAAAGAGTATAATCTAATGAAAGGATGAAAACAAAAAGCGCATAGGAAATGTGGCTATGTTAACGTAACATAGATTACATTAGCAGCACAAACAGTGAGGGGGTAAGCAGTACAGATAAAGTGAGCTTACCATACCACAAGGAATGGTTATTCAGAGGATTTATGCTTCCCCCATACACGCTGGAGCAAATCTTCCTAGTTTTTAAGTAGGAGAAGATGAGAGGCAGAATAAATGGAGAGAAGAAAACGTTCCTGGTGACAATGTCAAGAATGAGAGCAAAGCCAAGACCAGGGGAGAGGTACACAGCCTCTTTCACTCCCCACTCCTCCCACCATCTTGGAACAGAGTACACAAGGGGCGCCTGCTTATCTTCCAACAGAGCTGGACTGAGGAGAGGCTAAAGGCTTGGGAAAATTGGAGGTTTAAATGAATAGGAAGGAAAGAAAAGGTAGTTCAAATGTACCACAAGATGAAAACAGAAAGCAGTAGGGCTGAGTATTCAGATGTCAGCATCTCTCCTTCCCCCAGTGCTTGCTGTAGGTGCACCGCATCAGGCCCCTGGAAGGATCTTAGTCCGGCGGGGCTAGATTCCTTCCCAGAGCAGAGCACAGGAGCACAGCACTCACTCTGTGCCACCGTACACCCAGGAATTCTAGGACTAGCTGCTCAGGACTCAGGGGAAGATAGAGACTAGAATCTTTTTTCCTCACTTTTCAATAACTCTACTATCCTTTGGAAACGATCCTTGATCTGAGAGCCTGGCTGCCTGATGACAAGAAGAGAATGACTCTGGTGGGGTTTTCCAGGACCCTGCCCTTAGGGGTTGCCGAGAAAGCCTTCAGTGAAGCATGAGAAAAGGAGGTGCTACCCAGTTAGAGTGCAAAGGGATGAGGTTTCCTCTCCCAGCAAAGAGCACTCCCGTCCTACTAACTGGGGGGACCAGCCAGCAAGGCCAAGTAGGCCTTGCAACCTAGGTGGCGCTATTTCTCTACTTTTTAGGTCAAGTTCCTGCAGGAACTTCCTCGAGGTCCCAAGTCCTGCTCCTGGTTTGCTGGCTTGCTCGTGTAAACCACCTTATATTATTTTTTTTTCTAAAAATACTCCAAAGCAATTGAAAGAGTCCCTTCTCCCACCAGCCAGCCCTGGCCCCAGCCCCGGCCCCGGGGAGCGGGCGGGTAGGCGGGGAGGTGGGCCACTGCTTTATTAAACACAGGGAAAACTAATATTTACGGAATAAAATTTATGGAGCAGCCACGAGAATTCGACCCTTTTATGTGCATGTGGAGTGGGGGTTGGGCTAGGCTGGGGGCCTCAGGGAGGGGCCCAGGCCAGGGGGCAGGTCTGGAATATAGCCTGGCTAGGCCAATTTGTCAAAGCAGGGATTTCCCTCAAGTTGCCTTGGGATGAATGATTCTTAACCATCACCCCTAGCTTTGGGGGGTGAGGGCTTCAGGGCAAGCATGGGCTTCACAGGCAGCAGTAATTCTTTAAGGATATGTTCAAGCCATACACCACAGGGCAGCAACCTTTGGGAAAAAGGGGGCAGTGGACAAAAAGGTTACTAAGTATATTCTTATTTAACCTTTTTAAAAAGTCACATTCTTTTGAGAACACGAACAAAGTTATGCTCTTAAGATTTCACTTACAATTTTAGGGGATTAACAGGTTCCTGGCCTCTCCTATGGTTAAAAATGCCTAATCTTGAGATTGTACTCTTAGAACAGAGAGATTACGTAGGGTGAGGAACCTATATTTTCTCTTGCGAGGGAAGCCTTTCCATTTTCCATGTGATCTCATGCTTGTAGACACTGAAATCTAGCCATCTAAATAATGCTCAAAGAAACTAAAGAACAAAGATTGTTTTTACATAGTTTCCAATTCACTTTGATAACAGTCACTACCACAGAGCACACTCAGCAGTAATGTGGTCTGGAGGTAAAGAAAAGTTATCACAGTGACTTGGGAATGAGCCTTGATGGCTCTCAGACTCTGCTAAGAGGAAAAAGGATGAGGGTAAGTCCTGGAGTCCAAGGGCTCCCACCTTAAAGAGACCACGGGGAGCAGAGCATCCTATTGAAAGGAGGCAGGTTCAAAGACTAAGGATAGTTATAGTGGAAGCCTGGAAAGAAAGACCTAACTTCCTTCCTGGAAAATGCTTTTATTAATGTACATAATAATGCTGTTAATATTAATAACTCAGCTGTCTGGGTTCAAATCCTGGCTGTCACAAATTCTGGCAGTGTGACCTTTGAGAAGTCACTTAAGCACTTCAATTTCCTAGAAGGGTAACAGTATCTTTCTCATATGATGCTGTGAGGATCAATTTCAGGTGCTTATTAGAGTACCTGGTATATATTAACTACTCAATAAATGTTAGCTATTTGTCATTGTTGTTCTTTTTGTAATAATTATTCTTTTATTATTGTTTGATCATCCTCTTCCCATGACTTAAGGACAGAAACACCAGTCCCAGTAGGAGAGGATCAAGAATGAGGAGGCATTTGATCATCATCATCAAAAGTAACTAAGCCAAAAAAAGGCCTCTGTATTCTGCTCTTGACTCCTTCCTCTACCTAACGGTTCCCCATGAACACCTGAGTCCTACTGTTGTTCCTATCTCCCCAAGGCAAAGTTTCAGATGGTCATACCTATAAAGGAAGACCTAGCAAAGAAGGTCAATCCTGGGATGCCAAAGAGTTGCCCTTCTAACTGTCTGAGATTCTGCCTATCACAGTCTGTATTTTTTCTTGCTAGGCACTATTAGTAGAGGTTATCCCAGGAAACTCCTGTGGTCATTTCCTATTCCTATAATCCTTTTCTATCTTTCCTAGTTCTTCTAGTTACTATGTTATTTGAAGTGGAGAGGAGAACAAGAAGGTAAAATTCCTTTTTCTCCCACCCCAGTGGGAAACTACCCCAGCCCTAGTGCTTAAAGCTCTTGTAATTTTGATCCCACATTGTGGTTTAACCTGTTGTCTATGCCTTGGAAAGAAACAGAAAAACTCATCCAAGTCTGGCAAAGCAAAGCAGCAGTCATCTGTGTGTCTTGTGCCCACCATGAAAAGAGTTCGTGAGATCAAAGTTTTCGAATGAAGGCTTAGCTCAGGCCACAGCAAAGAAGTTTAGGAAGAATCTGAAAGACTGGACTGAGGACACAGACTTCACCCAGAGACAAAAATGGGGTGGGACCCAGTGAAGTGAGGTGGGTTATAAGTTCCACAGAATAAGTAATCTCAAAAGCAAAGGGGAGTGTGAATGATTTTTTATTCCATGCTAGAGAGAGAAGTGGGTCTCTGAGGAACATCTGGGGCTGGCTAGAGACTCTTAAGAAAGGTAGACAAAGTTTCCTGAGCATAGTGCCTTTTTGCTGACTTTCTTTATATACCTAAAGTTTATGGTAGAGTCCTGGGTCTAGAAAACTTCCACCAAAAGAGAGGCATCTCAGAGACTGGCTTCCATTTAAATAGGGAAGGTCAGTGCCCAGCGGGTTGGAGCCAAGCTTCCTTTGGTTAACAGTTTCCACTGTGGTGGTCTGTCAACATGAACTTCAGTTCTCTTCCCCTTACAGTGGGTCCCTGACTGTATAATTCCATTTCAGAGATACTTCTGTCATGCAAGTTTCTTTCAAGGTGAAGCTTGAATTAACTGGGAGTGGTGGAATGTGCCTGTAGTCCTGGCTACTTGGCGGGCTGAGGTGGGAGGAGGGCTTGAGTTCAGGAGTTCAAGGTTGTGGTGAACTATGCCACTGCACTCCAGACTGGATGACAAGAGTGAGACCATGACTCAGAAAAAAGAAAGGTGAAGTCTGGAAACTATTCTTCAAGTCCATCCTCAGCAGTTGAGGTCATGACAGGTTAACTGAAGAGCCCCCTTGGCTTCTTCCTCTTGAGCTTTGATAGCTGAGGTCTTTGCATAGGCCTTGAAGTACTCTAGAAAAAAAGGAATCCAAGTTAATAGAGGTTTTGAAACTGTTCTGCTTAAATCAGGAAAGAAACATTCTTCCTCTCATGACTCCTGGATAAGGTCTTCTAGAAGTATCCGACATAAGTGTGTTGAAGTCTATGTCAGGCAGTAAGTGTGACATAAGACACTGAAAGCGGGAGATGTGTATGTCCCTTCTCTCCCAAGGAACAACCTCACAGATCATCACTGGAAGTAGGGTAAAGTGAAAAATGAGTCAAGGTTCACCATTCAGTAAAAGAACTGCAAAGAGGAGACAGCAAGGGAAGATGTGAAAGACACGGCTCTCCATCTAGACATCCACAACTTGGAAGCCTGGTCACAATATTGTTGACGCAATGCCAACTAAGTGGCAATTCCAGGACCATTGGCTCAGGGGCTGCAGGTGCCAACTACTCCAACTCTCAGAACCCCATCCAGGGAGCTACTTAAGACTCACTGTGGGCTCTTTCTCAGGCACTGAGAGGGCTGGTGCTGAGGACCCCAGTTGTTCTGGCTGGTTTGGAAGTTGGATATCAGCTCCTTGCAGGGAAGCACTACTTGAGGTCTGAGGCTCTCCTGAAATCAGAAAAAGCAAGTGAAGATGGTGATAAATGTCTTCTTACCAGGAAGACATTAGTATTGACCAAGCATTCTGATCAAGGCCAGGGTTTGGTACTCATATGTAACTCGTCAGAAGTAGCTACAAATCCAACCTCCAACTAGCTTTCAAAAAAGCTCTGTTTCTTCTGTGACAATTCCCCAGGTCCCCTTTCAGCAGGTAGGATAAGTGTTTCCTTGATGTGAAATAGCCAACTGTTCTTCTACACCCTCCCTGATATGTGACAGGTGAGGAGATTAAGCTTTCTCCTGGTTCTCTCACTAACCCCTCTAAGCAACTAGACCAGTGCCATCTAATTTCTGCAGCGATGGCACTGTTCTGGGTCTCCACTGTCCAACTTGGCAACCCACTAGTCACATGTAGCTACCTACTGAGCACTTGAAATGTGGCTAGTGCTCATGAGGAATTTTTAATTTTATTTCATTTTTATTAGCTTACATTTAAATAGTCACATGTGGCTACAGCTATCATATTGGACAGCACAAACCTAGACCCCCACTCTACCCTCAGCCAGACCAGGTACCTCTGGACTGTTCACCAGTGCCTTGATGCTTCTGTTCCACTAGAACCTCTTGTTTGGTGACTGCCATGTACAGACATTGCAGATTCATGACAAAGGGCCTTCCATCACCAATGCTGCATGCTTCTGGTAGTTTCTGTAAAAGAATGGAGATACTGTCATTGGCTACATGCCTCATTGCCAGAGAAAAGCTCTAACACCCCACTGGCAGAACTGGCATCCCCAAGTGACTTTATACAAAGCAGATCCAAAAGAGGCTGTTTACATCCACGCCCACAGGGACCAACAGATAGACTTCTTGGGAGGTCTTCTTTGAAGGGCAACTCCAAATGTGTATCTATATTTCCCCTAATCCTTAGGGTATTTCTCATAAATACCCTATAGGTCCTAGGCTTTTTTTCTCAAGGGATAACATCTTAGAGGGTTATTTTAGGAAATCATCCTCCCTAAATTGTCCCTGAGCTATGCAGATTACTATTTTCATTCAATTCATTCCTAAACTAGAGAGAGAGATTAAATCCAGGAGAAGAGAAAGAGTAAAACAGAAAGGACAGACTGAGAGAAAAGAAAAAATGATGACGCTGTGATGCTCAGTCAGAGGAGATGGGAAAATAAAGTTGACAAAGCTTTTGAGGCCAACCTGTCATTTTATATTCCCTATTGCAATCCCATTGAGCCTTACTATTATCCACATAGGCCCTCTCAACTTTAACCCAAGGATGTGAAAATTGGTTCTTCAGAGGTGAAAAAAACAAAAACAAAAACAAAAAATGTAGTCTTTTAAAGTATAAAGCATAAATATACATAGAGTAAATAAACAGATTTTTGGTATATTTGTGGCATTAAGATTTTCTGAGGATTAGAAAAAAGTATTAAAAAGTTCATTAGGGAAGTGACAATTTTAAAAAGGCTGAGAAACATTGCTATAATTACATTATATTTATCTTTTTCCTTCACTATGGAATGAACTTTGGATTTATATCCATAGCAAAAAGCTTTGCCTTGTAGTTTCATATACTTGGCTGAACTGAGTTGAAGTAATGGCTGAAGACTGAGCAAAGTACAATAAAAATTAGATGAAAGAGTAAGGTATCCAGTGGTCCCAAACCTGGCTGCACTTGAGAATCTTGGAAAGGGCCCAGAATTACTTCATCTGTCCCTGTGCATGCAAATCATCATGGTTCCCAGCCAAGTTAGCAGGTCCCCAAGAGCAGCCATGCCAGCAGCTCACATGGGAACCAACACAAGAATCCTGGTTGGCCCATATCTCAGGTCAAGGGCACCTTTTTTGTGCTATAAGGGCATTCATTTCCAAAAACCTTTTGTGAGAGAAGAATGAAGGAGAGAAAGTATGAAAAGCAGAAAGCAGGTGGTGAACTAAAGTCAGGATTATGTAGTTATCTTTCCGTGTGGCGGGAGCTGAAAGACTTGTTGATATCCAGGAAATATCACATACATTTTTACTCCAGCCTTACCCCCATAAAGGATCTATCAGGCCTGGACTTTCAATGGGAACAACAGATAATGAATCAGATGCCCTGAGTCCAAACTTTGCCTCTATCCAGTAACCACACAAGGAATATAAGTGCCCTCTTCTTCTCTAAGGAATGAACTGAAACAGGCAAACCATCACCTCTGCCCTACCTCACTCTTCCTAGGTTCAGTTCTCTAACCCCCAAATCACTTCCTCCAAAAGTAGGTCCTCTCCTCCATAGCTATAGAGTCCTGAGAGTGGAGAGGCAAACAGCTGTTTTCTTTCCTTATGTCTCCAGTCTCTAGGATATCCCTCCACACTGCCCAAGAAATGTAGCCTCCCAGGGTCATGCATACACAGATTGGTAGGCACTGTGCTGCAGAATGAGGTAGTTCTGGGTCATCTCCCCCTTCTCTTTCTATGGAATTAAACAGACTCATAATATTCCAGGGTGATCTTTACTCAGTTCATGTATTTAACCTCAAAATGAAGTGCCAGAAATGAAAGGCTATTAATGTCAGTGCTGATCTGGACCCAAGTCTAAATGTAGAACCTAATCTTAGCCCCTTCTCTATCCTTTCCCCTCTCAGAGAGTTGGACAATAGTAGTTACAAATTCAACTTCCAGTTAACTTTCTGAAAGCCCTGTTTCTGCTATAAAGATGCTAGTTGCTGGCAGAGGAATCCCACCTGAGTATCTAGCCTCAGAAAAATCCAAGGAACAGAATACTGGTATAATTGCTAAGAATTTATTATGTCTTAGGGGCTACCCTAAGTACTTTAAATGTCTTAACCCATTTTTAAAATTTTCTTATTTTTATAGATTCAGGGGTACAAGCGCAGTTTTGTTACATGGATATATTGTGCAGTGGTGAAGTCTGGGCTTTTGGTGTAACCATCACTTGAATAGCACACATTGTCCCAAATAGGTATTTTCTCATCCCTTGGTCCCCTCCACCTTTTAGAGACTCCAGTGACTATTATTTTACTCTTTGTGTCAATGTGTACACATTGTTTAGCTTTCACTTATAAGTGAGAATGTGTGGTATTTGACTTTCTGTTTCTGGGTTATTTCACTTAAGATAATGACATTCATTTCCATTCATGTTGCTGCAAAATGCATGATTTCAATCTTTTTAATGACTGAGTAGTACCCTACGGTGTGTGTGCACATGCATGTATATGTATATTACATTTTCTTTATCCACTGATAGACACTTAGGTTGATTCCATGACTTTGCTATTGTGAACAGTGCTGTGGTAAACATACGGGTACAGGTATCTTTTTTTATACCTTTGGGTATATACCAGTAGTAGGATTGCTGGATTGAATGACGGTTCTGTTTTTAATTCTTTGAGGAATCTCCATACTGTTTTCCACAGGAGCTGAACTAACTTGCATTCCCACCAACAGTGTATAAGCATTCCCTTTTTTTCACATCCTCACCAACATCTCCTTATTGATTTTTTAAATAATAGCCATTCTGATCAACGTAAGATGGTATCTCATTGTGGTTTTAATTTGCATTTCTCTAATCAGTGATGTTGAGCATCTCCTAATATGTTTGTTGGCCACTTGTATGTCTTCTTTTGAAAAATGTCTGTTTATGTCCTTTGCCCATTTTTTAATGGGGTTATTTTTTTCTTGGTATTAACCCTTTTTTTTCTTTTTCATTATTTCCCTGGCATATAGAACAACCTCTAACCCATGAAAGGGGTTCAATAACTATTTGTGAATGAATGTACATGAATCTGACCCCAACCCCATTTGGCTGAGGTAGTTAGTTACAGCCAGTAAGCAGCGGAGCAGGATTAGAATCTGGGCAGTCAGCTGTTTGGGCACAGTGGCTCACGCCTCTAATCTCAGCACTTTGGGAGGCAGGGAGGATTGCTTGAGCCTAGGAGTTCAAGACCAGCCTGGGTAACATACCGAGACCGTGTATCTATAAGAAAGTTTTTTTAATTAACCGGGTGTGGTGGTACACACCTGTAGTCCCAGCTATTCTGGAGGTTGAAGAGAAAGGATTGCCTGAGCCTAGGAGGTTGAGGCTGCCGTGATTTGTGATCATGCCACTGTACTCCAGCCTGAGTAACAAAGTAAGACTGACTCAAAAAAAAAAAAAAGGAATCCAGGCAGTTAGTCTTCAGGAGCCACACATGTAATTACTACCTTATTTACTTCTCTAAACAGCAGAATTTTAGTCAAAAGGGCAATCCAGCCTCTCCCAGGATCACAAACTGCAAGTCCTAAAAACCCCAATCACCTGCCATCCAGTTGAGGAACAAACTCCCTAAGATGGCAAGAATAAAGTGAACAGATAAAAAGGAGACACCTGGTCCAGACTAGTGGCTGAGAGACCTTACCCTGAATCCCATTCTGGCTGTTCCCCATCATCACGGATTCCTTGGGCATCTTCTGAGAATATGCTAGAAGAGAGGTAGAAAGCCAGGAGCTTGGGAAAGAGAAACATTAGCTCCATGGGCAGAACAATGGTAGGGGCTAGCTGGGGCAGGCAGCAGAGATCAAAGGGAGAATGCTGGAGTCAGGACTAAGCAAAGTAAATAATGCCCCCTGCTATAAGTATGACTGAGCCAGGAGCACAGTGTACCAGCCACAAAGCGGGTCACCGCCCAGAGTGGGGAGGGATAGAAGAGGCAGGTCAGCCTACTCATATAACATGTTCATCTGATTAACCCAGAATCAATTCTAGTGAGCAAAAAAGTTACCGAGACTCGAGTACGTGCCAGGTACTACAAAACTAGGGGCAGGGGGAAATGGTCACATCAATCCTCCTCATAACAGGTCTGAGTTAACACAAAGATAATAAGTTCAAGTCCCTACCTCAAAGAGGTTCTGTTTTCCAAATGACTTGCTATAACAGAGTCATAATAAGCAAAGGGTAATAGAAACCCAGAGAAGAAGAAAGGGATGAATTTTGACAGAGAGTCCTGCAAGAATCATCGGAGGTGGTAACATCAAGGTAAGCCTTACAAAGTTAGGCTTTGAATGTGTACTGGAAGCATGTGAAGCACAGAGGTGTGAAAAGATGGAATATGTAGAGGTACCTCTTGGGAAATGAGATTAGAAGATTAAATTGACATTCACTAGATTGCAAAGGGCTTCATTTTCTTAATTAAGGTTATGCCTGTGGGAATTTCCTTTTGTTTCACAGAGTGGCTTTCTCCACTACACAACTGTTTGCCAAAGTTTTCTTGGCTCCAAACTAATATTGATATAATGATGAGGTATCTAAAGCTTCTTCTAGGGCTTCCCTTTTTAGGCTCTCTGGCTTATTCAAACTCTTTTAGTAGTTCTTCACTACTTCCTTCTAGTACTGTGACTTTTCAATAGCCACATGAGCTCTATTACTCTTCCATCTCCAAGAGCCTTTACTCTCTCATCTCCAATTCACTAGGACTTTGGATTCTGCTCTATAGCCACATCACAAACTTCAGGGAAACTGAAGTTACAGAAATCCTAAAGGGCATTTTATTTCCCCTTCTGGTCCCTATTGCAGAGCATCTTGGTTCCTAGGGTCCAAACTCCCCTCTTTAGCAGTAACTCTCATCTTCAACAAATCTAAAACTCACTCCCAGTGATCCAGAAAGTCTAAGACTCCTTCAGATTTGATGGAGAGAACCCAATTGCCACTTTCAACTAGA